GTGCAGTGGGCCTGCCGTGGGGTGTTGAGTGAGGGTGGCTAATCAGGACCTTAGCTCCCCCTCAGGGTCTTCAGGTGGGAGATGGAGGCTCTACCTCTTCACCAAGTTGTTGAGAGGTAAAGTAGAGGCCTTTGAGACCAGCTGACTACAGACAGGGCCTGGGGCTCACCCTTCAGTTCTGTGATTCCCAGCTGACTACAGACAGGGCCTGGGGCTCACCCTTCAGCTCTGCGATTCCCAGCTGACTACAGACAGGGCCTGGGGCTCACCCTTCAGCTCTGTGATTCCCAGCTGACTACAGACAGGGCCTGGGGCTCACCCTTCAGCGTCTCATGGACTGTGGATGACTGCAGCTCTGCGATTCTAGTGCTCAGTCTTATGGACTGTGGATAACTACAGTCCATAGCCATGCTAGATTACATTCCCAAAGTATCCTTTGCCAAGAAAACAACAACAGCTCAGTGGTAAAGTCTAGAGTCTCAAAAAGAAAGATCACTTTGTGTGTGTGTGTGTGTGTGTGTGTGTGTGTGTGTGTGTGTGTGTTTATTGTCTACTTTGATATGGAGCATATTTTTTTTTTGAAAGGAAAGGAAAAGAAAAAAGGAGTGAAGGAGAGGAAGAAAGGAAGAAAAAGGGAGAGAGAACAGAAGTATTGCTTTATTCTAAAAATGGGTATTAATAATGGCAGATCAATATTTTGTGTATTTAAAGTGGAGAATGTATATTTTGTGTATTTAAAATGGAGAGCTCTATAAATATTTATTAAGTTTACTTGTTCCGGATCTGAGTTCAAGTCCTGGTTGTCCTCATCAATTTTCTGTCTCATTAAGTCTAAATCTCTATGGGTCTTATGCATCTGGGTGGTAGGGTCGTTAGCTCTTATTGTTGCATTGATCCTTTTACCACTATATCTTTGTTGCTTTGAAATCTATTTTATCAGATGCAAGAATTGCAACTCCTGCTTTTTATTTATTTATTTATTTTTGCTCTCCATTTGGTTGGTAAGCCTTTCTCCATCCCTTTGTTTTGAGTCTTTGTGTATCTTTGGATGTGAAATGGGTCTGGATGTAGCATACCGTTAGGTTTTGGCTGTATCTTTTGATTGCGAGATTTAGTCAACTTAAATTTAGGGTTAATGCTATTTGATGTTACTGGCTATTTTATCCATTTGTACTTTTTGGTATATTTTTAGAAGGCTAATACTGGTTGTTCCTTTCTATGTGTAATGCTTCTTTCAGAAGCTTTTGCAAAGCAGGCCTGGTGGTGATAAAATCTCTGAGTATTTGCTTGTTCATAAAAGATTTTATTTTTCCTTCAATTTTGAAGCTTAGTTTGGCAGGATATGAAGTTCTGGGCTGAAAGTTCTGTTCTTTAAGGATGTTGAATATTGGCCCCCACTCTCTTCTGGCTTGTAGGGTTTCTGCTGAGAGATCTGCTGTGAGTCTGATAGGCTTCCCTTTGTGGGTAACCTGACCTTTCTTTCTGGCTGCCCTTAGTATTTTCTCCTTCGTTTCAACCCTGGTGAATCTAACGATTATGTGCCTTGGGGTTGCTCTTCTTGAGGAATATCTTTGTGGTGTTCTCTGTATTACCTGGGGTTGAATATTGTCCTGCTTTGCTAGGTTGGGAAAGTTTTCCTGAATAATATCCTGAAGAGTATTTTCCAGCTTGGATTCATTCTCTCCGTCACATTCAGGTACACCTATCAAATGTAAATTTGGTCTTTTCACATAGTCCCACATTTCTTGGAGACTTTGCTCATTCCTTTTTATCCTTTTTTCTCTATTCTTGTCTTCTTGTTTTATTTCATTAAGTTGAACTTTGACCTCTGATATCCTTTCTTCTGCTTGAACAATTCAAGTGTTTAAACCTGTGCATACTTCTCGGAGTTCCTGTATTGTATTCTTCAGTTCCATTAATTCACTTATATTCCTCTCTAAGTTGTCTATTCTCAATAAGATTTCATCAAACTTTTTTTCAAAGTTCCTAGTTTCTTTACATTGGGCTACAACATGTTCTTTTAACTCACAGAAGTTTCTTATTATCCACCTTCTGAAGCCTGATTCCGTCAATGTAATGCATTCGTTCTCCATCAAGCCTTGTTCCCTTGTTGATGAGGAACTGTGATCCTCTTTAGAGAGAGAGGCATTCTGATTTTGAGTATTCTCAGCCTTTTACGCTGGTTTCTCCCCATTATTGTAAATTTATCCACCTGCCGTCTTTGTAATTACCAACTTTCAAATTAGGTCTCTGAGTGGACGTCCAAGTTGTTAGTTCCCAGGGCCGAAATATGAGCAAACCAGCCAAAACAGCGGCGTTAAGACTGATGGCGCTTTTCTGCCCAGGAATCTCCAGTCTGGCTTCCTTCTTGAGTCCGTAATAGGTGACTCTGCCTTCCCGGAGCTCCAAACCTTGGTCAGAAGGGAAACCAGTCCCGTTTACTCTGCACCAAGAGCTGCCACGCCGAGGTGCTGGCAAAATGGCTGCACTTGCCACAAGAGTCACGCTGGCGACCCGTGGGGCTCCTCCACTGGGAATCTTCTGGTCTGTGAGCAACAAAAATTTGTCTGAAAGTGTGGCATCCTCTCATTCTCTGCACTTTCACTGGGAGCTGCAATCCTGAGATGTTAGCGATCAGCCATCTTGGATCGTTCTCCCCAAGAAAGATCACTTGATGGCAAGTCCATGATGAGGGAGAAGACGGAATGGCCCCTAAAGCTTCATATTCCGTTTCCCAGGGTTCAGGTATTTATCAGGTCCCTGGTGACAAATTTATGGTCAGTGATGATTAGCAGGCTTCTTGTAAATTGTGATTCTTTGGCTGGGAATGGAAATTCAATCTCCCTTTCTTCATCATATATAATAAGCCTGAGCCAAGCAAGGGCCCCTGGGCTCTTCCCAGCTTAGGAAGAAAGCACAGATCAGCTTACAGCATTGTCTCCGGTGCCAGCCACAGGACAGCCTGGGAAGTTAACATCGGTGGCAGCATATGGGGGAGGCGGGGAGTGGAAGGCAGGAGGCAGGAGGCTTTGTGGAACTGGAGGAGTTTGAGGCAGGCCTAGGATTTCCTTAATGGAAGACAGGAGAGCGTGTTTGGCCAGGAGGAAGGAGCAGCAAGAGGAGATGGGGCACCCTTGGGGGCTGCACTGCGGGTGTTGTAAGATGGCAAACTGTGGAGGATGTGCGGCTGGGAGAAGCTGGAACAGCAGGGAGCCATGGAAGCCAAATGAGCAGGGAGTGAGTGGGGCGACCCTGGACTCAGTCCACCATGGACAACAGACATCAGTAATGCTCAGAGAGATGGCTTGGTGACCACCAGCCACTGGCCAAACCTTTGCCAGGGCAGGAGGCTCCCATATGGCCCGATGAAGATGGCACTACATCTCCACAGGCTGAGAAGGTTCCTCTACTGAGAGCCGCCCCTCAGGAGGGGCCGCCTGGTCCAGCCAGGCTGCAGGGAGGAGCCACACTGTCTCCAGACCTGCAGGAGAAGCACCAGCCTCAGAAGCCGGCGCCCCCACACACAGACCTAGTCTCCTGTTACCTGCCATTTCCTGTCTGTAGCTGTATTTAATTTGCACACCTCCTCCATGAGACAGTGTTCGTGCCCATTCTAAGATGAGGCTCAGAAAAGTGACACGGCTATCTCCGAGGCCACAGCCAGTAAGGAGGCCAGATGCACACCTATATCTGCCTGCTGTTACAGCCACCTTTCTGAGAAAGTGACGTGCTATGGCTGGCTTGTCTTGGCTCATGAGAGCCAACTGTGCACATTTATCCCCAGCTCTACCCTCGGCCACATATCCCTGGTACCTTGAAATTAGCCATGGCGGGTGTATTTATCCCACAGAAATTGGTAAACACTGCAAAACAGCCTCCACCCCCCACCGGTTGTTAAGCGCTGGCCGCACACCGCTGTCTGTGTGATTTGGGCGCCAATGCTCTTTTGGGGTTGAGCCAGCGGAAAGGGCCTCCTGGTGTGAACTTGCAGCTTCTGTGAGGGGCCGCAGCATGAAAGCGCTTTCCGTGTTCACTCGTTGCTTGGTTGCTTGGTCTGTGTCATTCCAACAATTCAATTGATCAGTGAGAAAATCGAGGTGAGGAAATAGGGGTCACAGAATCAGGTGAAACCAGGAGTTACGGTGCTGGGCAAAATGTAGGCTTCATCATTTCCATGTGTGTGTTAGATTTTTAACGTTAGATGTTTTTATCTTTATTACAACTAGCAGGGTGTGTGTGTTTTTAAATATATTCTGAGTTGCTGCATACCGTATTTAAAGTGGACGGGGTTGGGACTGAGCCAGGCCTCCCCTGGAAGGAGAGGCTGGTGTGTCCCCGGGGGTAGGAGGTCGCCCGTTCGCGTTCGCCGTCTGCAGCTTTCACTGCCGGCTTTACTCCTGCCTGAGCTTTTTGCGGGTGGAGGTGGAAGGCAGGTCACAAAGCCGGTGGCTTGGCAGACAGAGGCTCTTCCCTTTCATCTGCTTTGGCCTCTTGATGGACTTGTGACCTACAACCTCTCACTTGACCCCTGACCTCATAAATTCTGGAAACGCCTCACAAATCACCAGGAAGATAAACATCAACTGAGGTCAACAGAAGGGGGTCTGAGCCACTCCAGGAGACCAAGAGGGTAGATCCAGTCTGCTGGGCGGGTGGGAGGAACGCTGGAACCATGGGTGGCTCAGGAGAGGGGACCAAACCACCCTGACACAGAAGCAGTCCTCCAGTCCCGCAGTCTGACCTAGAGAAGAGGCTTGTGTCTGTGGCCACAAGGTGCCATTTGCAGTGCTGCATGAATCTGGACCCAGGCAGCTTGCCCTTGGTTCCTCCCTAAGGGACATCCATGTGGCTGGCTGCTCCACACGCACGTGTGTGCGTGATACGTGCAGTGACAGCCCATTTGCTTGTTACATTTCATTGGCTATCTCTTTTCACCTGAAATTTTCTCTCTCCCTCTCTGCCCGGTCCCCAACCCGTCTCTTGTCTGTCTCTCTTCCCAGAGGGTATGAACTGCATGAACAAAGACCATGGCTGTGCCCACATCTGCCGGGAGACGCCCAAAGGTGGGGTGGCCTGCGACTGCAGGCCCGGCTTTGACCTTGCCCAAAACCAGAAGGACTGCACACGTAGGTAGATGGAGACAAATGGGTCAGACGTCCCATGCGCCTCCCGCCATTGCTTTCTGGAGGGTCTGTCCAGCCTGCTGGACATTGGTTAGGGAGGGCCCCCAGCCCCATGGGGTGGAGAGGGCAGGGCCTGCTGAAGGGGCCTGATGGGGGCATGAGGGACAAGGGTTGTGAGCCTCAGGCTCGGGGGCTTTCCTCAGCAAGCATGACACCGCCATGACACCAGTGTAGCCTCAGGAGCTGGGCTGGGTCTGCGTCAGCCCCTGAGCCTGAGCTCTCCAGCGGGAATGGTGGGGCCGTGGCACTGAGGTCTACAAGACCAGGTTTCCCGATGGGCCTGGGAAGCCCCTGGTAATGAGCAGTAGAAAGAAGGGAAAGAGGATGGTTTTGAAGGGTCCGGTTCTGGGCTGCGCTGACCAAAGAGCAGAACTCTGCATATCTCTAGTGCCAGCTGGTTGGGAGGCAGAAGCCAGGGAATCACTCCAGCCCAACTTTGAGTCCAGCTTGGACTACATAGCAAGACCCCATCTCTAAAATAAAATATAAAGATCAGAAGTCACAGCATGACCCCTGCAAGGCCGGCTGCCAGTGATGATACCTGGGAGAGGAGATCGGGGCTGAAGGAGGCCTCTGGCCAAAGACGCCATTTCAGGATCTGCTTGGTGGTCTGCCTGCGGGGTGCACGCGTAGTCCAGCCTCTTCACGGGGTCACCCATTCCCCAGTAGGAGTAGGAACCAGGAAACCAGGTAGAACAGCGGCTGAACTCAGAAGCTTGGGAGCCAGTGCATCCTGCCCACGGCTACGTGGGGAGACAGCAGGATGGGCTTCTCCTTGTGGGAAATGAGGGCACCATAGATACCCAAAGTGATGTCACATGTGCCCTGTTTTTACAAAGAGCCAAACAAGACTGCTGGAAGCACTTTCCACCTCTGGCTGGAGACAAGTGCTTCATCTCAAGCCCACTTTCTAACACAGAAAAATGTTATGGCAAAGTCCAGTTCCAACTCCCAGTAGAGAAGGGGGTCCCCACCCCAGCTGTGGAAATGAGAGACTGGGCTGCCTGCCGTCATAACGAAATGGACTTCCACCATCATTCTGTGGAGAAGACAGCTGGCCTTGCTGGTCCATCACCTGCAGTCCCTTATCCTCTCCATTGTCATCAGCTCCCCTCCGGTTGCCTGGCCACACTTTCCTGACTCATGTCCTCCTAGAACAGTCACCAAGGCCCCGGGGACCCACATGCACCAGATGTGATTCGTCCGTTCTCCAAAGTGGAGGTGCCTCCTTCTGCCCAAGGTATGGTCCGGGAGGCGGGCCACTGTTCTCTGTGTTTGCGGCTCTTTCCTGTGGGGTAGCCAAGATAATCCTGTATACTGTCACCCAGGGCAGGATGAAACAGCGGCAGTCTCCACTGGAAGTGCCATCCTCCAGCCCCAGGGCTCCAGCCAGGGCCCCTCTCCACACCAGTTGCATTCCTTTATCTGCAGAGAAGCCTTCTGGCCCCGGCCATCTCAGAACAGAAGATGCTGACTCCAGCTTTCCCAGTCCCTGCTGTTGTGTGATCTGAGTTTCCTACAAGAAAGGCCAAGGTCAAGAACACATGGAGTTGGCAGGCTTGTGCGTAGCCCTGGCCAGAAGGACAGTGCCTTCCCTCAGTCAGAAGACAGGCCGAGCACCTGCTCGAACCGGGCTCCGAGCCCAGTGTAGGGAGAGGCTGCAGGCGGCCTGGCTGGGGCCAGCTTGCTCCCTGATCCCATGGTATATCTGAGACAAGCACTACCAAGAGGACTTTACTCAGAGAGCATCTTCTGGGCGCTGGCCTGGTGCGAAAGGTCAGGGACTAGGCAGGGCCCTGTGAGCAGCTGCGCCACCCCTTACAACCCTTACCCCAGCTGCCCCCACCAGGGAAGGGCTCTGCCCTTGCCTGGAATATGTGCTGGCTTAAGAAACTGTAGTCCCACCCTCTCCATGGGTGGCTGAACGTCACCGAGGTATGGAGAGCCTGATGTGATTTCTGGGGCCTGAGGCCTCCCGTGAAGGACCTGCACATGCAGATGCCCAGCCAGCCCAGCTTTGGCTGCTTCTGTGAGGTTAATAAGGCAAGGCTGGTGTGAAGTTAGCTCGGAGGCTTTCACTCTGTTCTTGAAGTCACTTGCATTCCAAGAAATTCCAGATCTCAAGCTGGGTTGGGGGCTGAGGCCTGGCTTACCCAGCCAGCCTCTGTAGCTCAAAAGGACTGCAATGCTCTGAACCAAGCTGTCATCCATCCAGAGCCCAGGACCTACTCCAGGGCCAGGCCAGAAGAAGTTTTCTCCGCCCTCTGTCCATCTCACCAGAGCTTGAGCTCAGACGTTTCTGCATAAAAGCCGTAGGTTCTCCGGTACTTGATTGCTCGACCCTTGGGGGTCTGTGAGGCGCACAAATGCCTGTGTGTAGGAAACCAAATCCCCTGAGCCTGGACCTCCCTCGAGTTGCCTCAGACAGGCCTCTGTCCTCATTAGAGTCACTTTTAGGGCACAGCCTGTCTCCAGGAGCCTGGAGCTCAAGAAGGCCTGCCTTCTCCTCAGCTGCACCCCTGCCCACTCTGAAAGAGGAATCTCCTGGGTCCTAAAAAGACACACGACATCCAGCCCAAAGTGGGCTCCACCTGGGTCTCTTCCCATCACCTGACATCTGTGTAGAGCCGCAGCCTCCCAGAACCCCTGGCTTCCCTGGGTTCCCTCCTGGCCATTGAGACGAGCTATTGAGAGATGAAAGCCAAGCTCCCATCCAGGGTGCCACCTCCACACTGAAGAAGAGTCACTCCTGAGGAGAAGGGGCTAGAAGATTTTGTGCTTGAAACCCAGTTGTGTTTCTGGAAGCATTTTTCAGGTTCCTGAAATTTCACCGTAGAAGTCTGCTCCCTCCTCTGGATGATCCTCAGCTCCCTGTGGAAGAGGGAGCAGCCCCTTAGAGCCCCTGGCTGAGCGCAGCATCTGAGGCACTGACACCTGTCCCCATCAAGCCGTTTTCTGGACATCCTCCTCACTTGCTGTGAAGGTAGCATGTGTCCAAGGCTGAGGCGCCACCATCAGAGGACAGGAAGGCGCCGCATCATTGTCTGTGAAAGGAGGAGTGTGGAGAAGCGCAGCAGCAGAAGTCAGTTCTGAAACGTCTGAGATACTTCTGTGGAGGTTGCCACCAAATGACCTCCCTTTGGCACCGGCGTGCTCATGGGTCAACCTGACAGAACATAATTCATTCAATCTCTCAGAATTGGAGATTTTTGTCCCCTCTAACCATAGTTGGTGTGAGGTTATTTTTGCATATTTGGTCATTAGGGTTTTACCAAATAAAGAGTGGAGCTTAGATGGATGGTTAAGTATCTAGGAACACGGCCCGTGCTGAGGCCCTGGTGCACATTTGCGTTCGGGTGATGGCCTTGCAGCTGTCTCGCCAGCATCACAAGGCAGGGGCGCCCTACACCCCCTGGGGAGCACTGGAGTCACTGCTCCCCTCTAGCGATCCCGCTCACCCTGGAAATGGGCCGTGTGTTTAAATGAACTTGAATGGGTAATTTTTCCGCCTTCAGACTCCTTTTCTGTCCCTTTTCAGCCAACCCAGCTTGTTGGTCTTGGCCACAGGCACTGAAAGCAATGTCACATTGTTATTATTTCGGCCGTTTCCAAAACTGTACCCCAGATGGCATTAATTGGCATGAGTCTGTCTGTTCCAACATTGTCGAGCTCCAGGAGGATTAGGGCTTTCAGGGGAGAGGGTTTGAGGTGGCCCCTGGGGCTCTGAGAGGACGGACGTCCAAGGAGACATCCACACACCCCAAAACAGGCAGAGGAAAGAAAGCCTCTGCAAGAACTAAGGAAATGAGGGTCACCTGGAACCACGGGCCGCCATCTCCCTCCCCCCCGACAGCTTGACAAGTATGTCCTGGCATTGACAGACATTTGCCCCATCGAGACAGGCAGCTGTAAAGTGTCCTGCAGCCTGGGAAGGATGAAGCTGTCTTCATCTACCACCACCTGAGCACATCAGCTTTGTGCTGGCTCTGATCAGAGTCCAGATCATTCTCTGTCCCACCCCAGTTCAGCTCCAGGGAGTGAGTGATTCCATAGAAGATTCTAGAGGGGCCCAAGTGCAGGGAGATGGGCATCTGTTGCCCCGCAAGCCTCATGACACTACCCACTGATGGCCTTAGGCCTCAGTTTCCCCATACCCTGAAGGAAATAGCCAACACCAACAACTAATCATTTTTGTTGTTCTGTTTATACACACGTGTGTACACTTTGGGCCTAACTAGTAACCTGTAACTATGGAAACGGAGGCTGCCAGCACAGCTGTGAGGACACAGACACGGGCCCCATGTGTGGTTGCCACCAGAAGTACGCCCTCCACTCAGACGGTCGCACGTGCATCGGTAAGTAGGCACCCCTGCTGCACAGCACCCTTGCACCCCCCACCCACCCTGTCTGCACCAGCAGGGCCAGCACCGTGCCACATCTGGGATCCCTGGAAAGGAAGCTTCAGGGAAACAAGGAAAGGCAAGCCCGGGGCCATGGTGGGGATGGCTGGCGCCCCTGGGGAAGCTTTCTGGGGAGGCTTCTCTGGGGCCTGCAGCCCCCCAGGACCAGGCTCCTCTGCTTCATGTTCCCTGGCAATGCCCAATGCAGGCTCCCTAGCAGCAGAATTTCTGCATGTCCTCATCCTGGAAGTGAGGGGTGGCCCGGGCAGGGGGTTTCAGGGAGAAGGAAGGTGTACACACCTCTAAGAGCCTCTGCTCCAGAAGCACAGGTGTTTCCTCCCCTCATACGGAAGACAGCCAGATTCAGGTAACTGCACACAGCCACAGTAGTCATGGGAGCCGCCCATGGCTGGAAAACCAAGAGGTTTCCTCAGAACTTCGCTTTGAGTGGTCGTTGTCTAAACTCCAGGAGAGATGGGCAGTGCGGGCCCGCGTGGGTATGGTGTTTTAACTGCTGGTCTCTCGAGCTGCCGGGCCCCTGCTGGCCTTCCTCCCCCACCCAAAGTCCGCTCTTCTCAGCGCTGCCCGGCCATCTCCTCACCTGTCACATGGAGTCTTGATCTGAGTCTCTGCCACCTCCTTCCTCCTGGTCCCTCTTTCCAAGGGGAAGATTGAATATTTGTGATTATTTCATACCATAATCACTAGTAGGTTTTTTTTCTCCCACCTAAAAACAATGGCACATTTTTTACCTGAGAAAGAGTAGAATTTCAGAGCTGGCACCCAGAGTTCCACCCTTCCTGTGTTGGCACGCTTTAGAAACCCAACACAAGTTCGCTTTTTTTTAAGCCCGATTTCTTGCTGTCAGTCTGGAAGATACTTCTCGATGGAGTCTCAGGGGACAGGAAAAGGTTGGTCAGCGAACAGAAGCCCATGAGGCCAGGGCATGCCCCTGCCCTGTCTCCCAGAACCCTGCTCCCTCGAGTCTCAGGGAGCGGGGCCCGGGCAGGCACCAGGCTATTACCTCTGTAGTCCGGGGCTGTCATCACGGGTTCTGCTGCCTGCGGTGGCTCTCCCTTCCTCTGTGTGGTCTCTTCTTTCAGACAACCATTTTTTATTTCATTTTTATCTCATTGCTCCTGCTTTTCTGGTGATGGTCCCTGATTGCCTGTCTTGTCTGATAACTGACGTTCATTAATTATTTTCAGAGCCAAAAGCCAAACCAAACCAACCAACCAATTAAAACCAAAACTAAAAGCCAAACCCGCTCTCAGACCAGTGTCTCTATTGCAGCCTGATCCCATCTAGAACCTCCTCTCCTCCGGCCTCTCTCCCTCCCTCCACTGTCCGGCCTGGGGCTCTCCCGGGTCCCCCAGCCTCCCTCCTGTCTTGTCTGCTAGAGGTCTCCCGCACGGTTTGTTAGCTCCGCTGGAGCAGGTGCAAGCGGCTGCCGGGCCAGATACACCCAACACGTCTTGTCTTGTCCACCTGAATCATCCTTTCGCTTTTTTATTTTTCAATGTCTACTGCATGTGAAGGCCCCTGCTTGGATCTCCTTTCCAAAGTAACTTCCCCAGCCCCACCTTCCCTCCCGTCTCGGTAGAAATCAACTTCCTTACCCAGCCCCTGCTGCTGCTGCCGCTGCTTCCACTCCTGTTCAGGAAGAGATGCCTTTCGCCTGACTTTGCCCACTGTTCATCCATGTCCCCGCTTGGGAACCAATGTCTCCACACGTTTCCCTCTGAGCAAAGAAAGTCAGCCCAGCTAACCTCACCTGCTCCTCCACCAGAAGCCTCGTGGCATAGCCAGGATGCTCCCTGGCCCGCCCTGGGCAGCTTCTCCCCCGCACGCTCCTAAAATCAGTGTTCCCTCTTTGCATCCCCTTGTTGAGCACTTGAATGTTTAGCCCTAGTCCTCTATAGACAAGCAGGCAACCAGCGCTGCCCAAATCGATCCCGTGGTTTTTCTGTCTATTCTATTGGATTCATTGTGTGTATGTGTGTGTATGTGTGTCTATTTCGTTCTTAATTTTGCATGACTGTTGACACAGCTTCATGTCCCTGTGACAGAGCCTCTGCTGCCTCAGGGTGCATCCATCACCGGACCTTGTGGCCCTGTCCCCTGTCCTGTGCCTTGTCCTATGCCTGCTTCTCCAGCCTGAGCCACAGGGGTCCGTAATCGCTTGTGTCTCCATGAAGCACCACAGTGTGCTTTCTGCCTCTATGGCTCTCTGCAGACAGGTCCTGTCTGCCCTAACCTCAGCCTCCTCCTCTGTGTGCTTGCCTGTGGGCCCTGAGTCTGTGCTATGTCCCAGGTCACTTTGTGATCATCCCTCCTTTCCTGCACGTCCCCCCACCCCCGCCGCCTCTCTGCTTTGCCCTGAACACCCCCACCTTGGAGGTTCCTGGGATTAGCCCCTTGGCGAGGATGCCGAGCTGGCCGGCGTGCTGTGTTGGCTCTGTGCACCACGCCAAGAGGCTGACTGTCTTGGGCCGCGGGAAGTGGGCTGTCATTAACCACTGGCTCCGTGTTTGTCCCTTACTTGTGTTTTAGAGAAGGATGAGGCTGCAATTGAGCGCTCTCAGTTCAATGCCACGTCAGTAGCTGATGTGGACAAGCGGGTGAAACGGCGGCTACTCATGGGTAACACTTTTCTTCCACTTCCTTTGTCGTTCTTGCACTTGTGCGTGTGTGCACGTGTGTCTCGGGCGTGCGCTGGCATGTGGATATGGGCGTGTGTGGGTGTGGCGTGTGCGTGTGGGGGCATATGTCTGTTGCGGGGAGTGCCCACGTGTGTGCCATCCTGCGTGCTGTGTGAGTGTGGGGGGCTCCACTCCAGGTGTGAACTCACTTTTTCCTTTTTAAAGTGTTTACCCTCCATCAAACACGTTTGTTCTGTTTGTCTATGTGTTTGTATTAAAGAACCCAGGGCTATTATCCTCTGGCCTGTGCGTGTAAGGAGACGAGTGCCGTAATGAAAACGTCTTTTCACATTGAAAAGCTCCCCCACTTGCAGTAAACACCCACATTCGCAGTTAGGATCCCCAGGATCAGCAAAGCAGCAGGATCAGACTCAGCTGCAAAAGAGGGCATTTGGGTAGATGGGTCTGGGCAGTAGAGTCATTATGCATCTCCTCTCCTGGGAGGGAAGCTACCAGCTCAGGGAGGGTGTCTTGGGAGACCTGCTGGCAGGGCTGATCAGGGACCCGTGTGAGGAGAAAAAGAAAGAGGAGAAATCACTGCTTTTGGACAGAGCTCAGTGTGCACAGTGGAAAGCAGACTTCCTCATTCATTCGTTCTTCTCTCTCCATCAGTCAGTTCACTGCTCTACTGGCCTCTAGGTTGTACCACCTGCCCAGGACCTCCTGAGCATAGCTGTGGTCACCTGGGGTTCTCATGACCTTCTTTATGGCTCTCAGCTCACACCAGCTTTTGCAGCCATGGGGTCAGGTGGTGCCGTCTCCATTTCTCTGAGGGAGAGACTGAGGCTCACTGGAGTGCCCTGGCTTGCCCAAGGTCACACATTGCCCTGAAGGCCTGCCCTGCAGGACCCAGAGGTCCTGACCGTGTGAGCTGTTTCAGGCATCAAGGCTGCGGGGCCAAGTGGAGGTCAGAGCCTGAAGGTCCTAGAGTGGGAGCTTTGTTTCCTGGCCCTCATGTGGACCTCAGGAGGACCAAGCATCTAGAGAGGAAGCAGGAGGGGGTCCGGGGGCCACAAGGGATATGGCCTTGTGTGCTGCTGTGAAGGTTTCAGGCCCACACACTCATTAGGGGCTTCGAGGAGATTGAGGGTCTGGTTGATGATGCTCTGTGAGCCCTAAGATCATGCTAGATAGGACAGGAGTGGCCCTCCTTTCAGATGAGAAGAGTAAGGGCCAGAGAGGTCAGAGCCTTCACCTCTGGTCACACAGGCAGACAGGGCAAGCTCAGGCTGGAAGCTAGTTCTGCAGATTCTCTGGGCAGGTCTGTTTTGTTGACTTGGGAAGAGCTGGCGATGGCAGCTTGGGTCGGCTTTGAGCCTCCAACCTCACCCCTAGCCAGCAAGTATGACCACTGCCCTCCGGGCAGGCATGACTCAGTGCTATGGACTTTCTGGAAAGGTGGCTGGAAGCAGGTGGAGGGATCCCCAGAGTTGTCAGTGTTCTGAGGCCACTCTCAGGTCTCAGAGGGCCCAGGACCCTCAGCCTCACTTACTAGAAGTTGGCATATCGTCTGAGGCCAGAGCTCCAAATCCAGGCAGGACCAGGAGCTTGGTGGTCCCTCAGCTACCCCTTGACCTTCCCAGGAAGAGGATGGATGGGGGAAGAGGGCCACGCTGAGTTGGCATCACATAAATGGGTGGTGCAGAGGTGGGGAGAAGGCCCTCTGTGCTTGCATTCAATAATGAGAGTCAATGGATAAAGGCCCAGAGCCAGTACCTGGAGCAGGGGGAGGTGAGGGAGGCCCTGAGGATGCAGGAAGCCCCAGCCTGGGTTTGGGGGGACAGCCTGAAGGGACATAACAGGGTGGGGACCCTCCCCTGCACCCCCACCTCTGTGATTATCACAATCCCCCATACCACGCCTTAGAGCTTGTCCTGCCCCAGACAGAAGAGCCTTTTCCTCCTCCAGTCTCCCTCTAGCATTAACCAAAGGGAGAGCAAATAGCCAAGGCCTCACACCTGAACGAGGAACCAGACTGAGGCTTCCGAGGAGGGTCAGTCCAGGGGCCTCGAGTCTAGAGCACAGGTGAGGCCCTCTCTCACAGCTGGTCATTCTTAGCACTGTCTCCTCTAAGAACAGCCTGTGGAGTGAAGATACAGGATCCTTCTGGACTTCAGGCCCTAACTGGTAGCTCCCGACAAGGTGTGGCCACTCCCATGCTGTATTAACAGAGGCAAGGTACGGAGAGTAAGGGAGGTGACAATTCCCCTCCTGCCCCATGCTGGTCAGGCGCACTGGGGCATCACACTCAGAGCCAGGCCCTAGGTGGGGAGAGCAAGCTAGCTGGTGAGGGCTCAGACCTGAGTCATCCTCATCTGTTCATGCTGCGAGATTCTTGGGCTGTGGGAGAGAGTACATCTCAGTAGATCCTGGGCCTGTGGGCAGCCTGAGCCCCGTTTGGGGTTCTGGGAGGGGAGAAGGGTAGGGCAGGCACAGGCAGGAGCCAGCAGCAGATGAGAAAAGTGAGACACTGAGGAGTTTCACAGCAAGGTTAGACCCTGGCCCACCTAGCTCCAGAGTCCGTGCCCTTGATGGCGGCACTGGCCAGCTCCCCAAGAGAGCGGCTCAGATGCTCAGACCCCCAGCCCCTGGCAGCACCGGCAAGCCAACGCAGCCATCTTAGAAACCACAGAGGGGCTGCGTTGGCTTGCCGGTGCGGCTCAGAGGGGCTGAGGGCCTCAACCATGCAGCTGGGCAGGACAGAGCTGGGATTCTGGCTCCGGTGAGGGAGTGGGGTGCTCCCAGCAGAAGTCGCAGTTGTAGGTCTAGAGTGTGGCCGGAGAGAGATCTCCAGCATAGCGTCCTGGGCCAGCCCTGCCCCACCCTTGGGTTCTCACTTTTTGCGATAATCACCCCAGTCCCTGAGCACAGGTGAAGAACAGAGTAAGTTATGTTTACTTTAAAGAAGCCCCAAAACGTGTAACCGCTGTAGACGCCCTTTACAATCAGGTAAAATGGTTGGATCTGCAGGTTAAAGTGATACCTTTCAATTAGCTGACAGACTTACGTGAAACAGCTGAGTACCCAGCAAAGGGTGCAGCACGGCACTTGCCTCAGGCCCCTGGGACCCTGCTTGTCTCAAGGTTGATGGGGTGCAAGGCGCCACTAGGGTCGGCTCCAGGTCTTCCATCAAGCCCTCTCCCTGGAGCATACTCAGGCTAGGTGGAGGCTTCCGCTCCTCTTGCTGCTGCTAAGGGATCCCCACAATCCTGCAATCCCCCTTGCTTGAGACAACACAGGTTTATTATCTTCATAGGTCAGAAATTTGACTTGGGGCTCACTAGGCTAAATTCAAGATGTGGGCAGGGCTGTTCCCTTCTGAGGGCCCCAGGGGCCAATCCCCTTCCTTGCCTTTCCGGTTTCTAGCGCTGCCCTTGTTCCTTGTCCCTCGGCCCCTCCTCCACCTTCAGAGCCAGCAGCCTGGTGTCCCCGACCCGCCCCAGTTCTCACAGCTCTGTTTCTGACCCACCTCTGCCACCCCCCTCAGTTATTCTAAAGGACCCCTGTGATCACACTGGGCCCCTCCAGGATAATTTCCAGTCTCATGGTCCTTCACATGTGCAGAGTCCCTTCTGCCAGGCACAGTCATGGTTTCTGGGGATTAGGAGGTGGGCATTTTAACAGAGATCATTCTGCTCAGACAGATGGTTCCACTGTTAGGGCAGAGCCCACACATGCCCTCTTCACTGGCTGAGCCCCAGGATCATGAGCCTCCTCTGAAACTAGTCCTGGGGTGTGGGATGCACCCCACCCCCTTTCTGGAGGCTCCACTGGCTGCCCCAGCTATGGGCACCCACCCTTCCGCAGGCAGCCTCAGTGGTGTGTCTTCAGCCCATTCCCTCTGCCCTGGCTCTTCCGTCTCACCAGTACTGTTCAGTCCGCTACAGCTGGCAAGGGACTTTCCAGGCAGCTCTCCAGGGAGTGTCCCCACTGCACAGAGGAAGACCCTGAGCTCCTGAGAAGGGAGGCCACATGGCCAGTGAGCAAAGCCTGGGCCAAGGTCCCAGCCCTGTGGACTCCCAAGTCCAGGTTCCCAAGTTAGGAGCAGAACAGGCCTGAGGGACATGGCTGTGCAGGCCCAGCAGCCATTCCGGCTGTGATCTTCCTCCTGTGGGCACTGAATCAGCAGAACGCACAGCTAGCCCATTCCAGGGGTCCCACCACGCCCAGAGCAGCAGCGGGGCCTGAGCTGCAGGCCAGGGACCCCAATCTGAGTTGACCCTCAGCCCGAGCTCTCTCTGGGCCTTGTACTCTGCCCCCTGTTGACTTCAATCTTACAGCCACCCTGAGAGCAGTGCAAGTGCTTTAGAGAAGAGGAAATGGGGGCAAAGAAAGGCAGCTGGGAACCCCTCCCCCTGCGCCTGCGGCTGCTCCTGCTGGCTCCATGAGCCGTTCCACCTGGTCCAGTGTAGGCCCAACCTTCTCTGCCTCCTCTCCGGATCTGGCTGGGAGCGGGTGCTTGACGTCGCTTATGGAGGTTGGAGCAAAGAGAAACAGTGCCTAAACAGCAGTGCCTGGCCTGAGAGGACCTTGGATTCCAGCAGGGACCAGCCCCCTGAGCCTTCCCTGTCCCTCCGTACTGTAAGAGCCATCTTCATAAGTGTTCCCCAGGCGGGTGCCTGATGGAGGCTGGGACCAGCCCCAGAAGCCGTGATTCCCTTGATCAGCAGACACTGCCCGGGCATCTCCGAGGAGACAGGGCCCAGACCTGCAGGAGGCCGGAGGAGAGGGAATAGCTTTGGCCTTGGAGCCACGAGGCCTGGGTGCCCGTTCTGGACACTTCTTGGAAGCTAGGCTTGCTCAGGTAACTTTTTAGCTTCCCTCAGCCTGTTTCCTCGGCTGTAAAGTGGGGATCGTGACTGTGTGTCCTGTCGAGCTGAGGATGAAATGAGCACCTAAGTAGCAAGTGCTCAGAGCAGCCCCAGGCGTGTAGGAAGCACT